AATGAGGGGCCTACCCATGCCACTAGGTTAGCCTCGTCATGGCGAAGATGGTGCAAGTGGAGATAACGCACCTCCTAAGGCACTTTAAAAAATCTCTTTGCCCAGGTATCCACTTTTATTTTTCACCCATGTCCTGTCTGGCTGTGAAGCAAACAGAACTAGTCTGAATGCTGGTGACAAGCCTTACAAATTTACTCTCAGGTGGAGCATCAAAGCATCTGCTTTTAATGTCACGCCTGATACTTAAAACTTTATTGTTATTGTTCTTTATATGCTTTTTAATTTCGACCAGACACGGAGACAGAGGTGAAAGAGAACACAAGAGACAAGGGGGCCCACAAAAATAAACAATAAATGATGAAAAAGAGTCTGCTTCTAGACCTGCAGAAAAGAAAAACACAACAATACAATAGGAGCAAGCTATCACTGCGTCAGCTTGATGAAGAAATATAAAATCAACATTGTTTTATTGAACAATCACATGATGATAAAACACAGTGCATTAAGTGCCAACCACAGCCTTGTCATGTGTCCAACTCCATACTTATGAGAGCACCATGTGAGCACCTGTGCGTGTACACGCACTTGTAAATGTAAGGTTTCTCTATAGGAGCATCCAATAGAGAGTGTGAGGGGCCACAGATTTGCCCCCCCCCCAAAAAAAAGATGTGTAGGAGATTAAGGGAGCTCCAAGTCCCAGAGATCCAGGAGCTGCCCCAGAGCACAGGGACCCCAAGGAGACTGTGACCAGAAAAGCCCCTGCCCCCCTCGAGAGACGCATAGGATCGCCCCGTGGGGCCACAACCAGCAGCCAGCAGAGCTCCGACAGATATCAGCGGCAAGCTTACAGGCCCGCCCACAGCCTCCCACCCCCCAGCCGGCCAAGCCCAGGACCCAGGGGCGACCATCCCTGCCGGGGACCCAGCTGAGCTCAGGGACCCAGACCCCACCAGGCAGCCACCGGGATTGATCAGTCAGACGTCAATAATCTTAAACTCCCTGACCCGGGACCCACGAACACTCAGGCAGACCAAGGCACCACACTCCACACCAGGTGTGGCAGGGGGAGGGGAGACAAAGATCTATATCATCAAAAGAAGTCCCAGGAGAAGGGAGGAGTCAAAGGTCCCACTTGATGTATACAGTCATACACAGACACAGTCACACACTCCCTCCCTCATGCTCGCACATACACATACAACCAAAATGCATGCCAGACACCCACTCATACTCCCCATACACATCCTATTCACTTTGGTCCCGGTACTGCTGCACATTGGGTACAACCATTACCGGTTCCCAGAGTTCAACCCTTTCTGCTGGGGTGCTGATAAGCAGACCCCCCCCGCCCAACGCTGAGCAAAGCAACCCACCACCCCAGACCCCAACCAGACGGCCAGATCTCCCTCCTAGCCTCCAGCCCCAGGAAGCCAAGCGACAACAGAGGTGTGCTAAGACCCCTAGTCTCACTCCGCCTGCTCCAATATAGTGTTAGTGCATATTGATGAGGTGTATTCCAAGGCTGTGGTGAGCAGGTAGTGCGGGCATCGTCTGGCCTACGCCAGCTGATGCACCACACTACCCCACTTACACCCACAGCCCTCAGTGTCTAAGTTCAATTTAAAAATTGGAAGTGGGCACCGGCACTCGGGATGAGGCTGAAAAATCCCCCTGCCAAATGCCGTTGAATGTACTCACTCCCCAGGCCCTAAGTGTGTGTTTGCATGGAATGTCGTTGGTGGGAGTGTTTAAGGTGCAAATAAAATTGGGGGGCAGGTTGCCACAGGAATGCGGAAATGGGGTCCATACCCGCACCCCCTGACTTGTCCATCCCCCAAGGTCCTATGTGCATGATTGTGTGATGATGTGAGCAGTGATGGGAATAACGTCGTTTAAAATAATGGCGTTACTAACGGCGTTCTTTTTTTGGGTAACGGAATTATCTAATTAATTACTTTTCCCGCTGTTGCAATGCCATTACCGTTACTGGGGACGGAAGGTTGTGCGTTGCTATGTGCTTGTCGAATGTTGAGCAGCAGTGTGACCTCCACACTTCAGCTGCAGCCAGGGAGAGAGAGGTGTCGGTAACGCACTTACAAACACGATGATGATTGGCCGGGTGGGCGGAGACCCTCAGTGTTCTCACTGTCTCAGTCACTGCCTGCTGTAGACACCACAGAGCAGTGATGGGAATAACGCCGTTTAAAATCACTACGTTACTAAAAAAAATTTTTTTTCAGTAACGAGCAAACTAATTAATTACTGTCTTCTTTTATCAAAACGTCGTTTCTGTTACTGATGAGAAAATGCGTGCGTTAAGCTGCGCGGTGTGTTGAAGCTGTCATCAGCTGATCAGGAGCTAAAGAGGCAGATGTTTTCATCCAAACGCATCACAGCCCATAAAGAACGAGGAAGACGTGATGAATAGTCTATGGCTGCAGGTGTGGATCTGCAGCCGTGCCCTTAGCATGACAGCGGGACATCCCGAAGGTCCGCTCACCTGTTCATCTCTCAGACGTCCTGATCTTCTACCTTCCTAGATCATCCAGCTGTAACCTGTTTCTGATCATGTCTTTAGTCCCGCTGTAACACTGGTTACATCAGTCTCAGACGTCTTGAAGCTCAGGTGTTATTAGAACTACCATGTGTGTGTTTACCTGCCAGCTTCAGCTTTTCTGTGGTTGGGTCTGACCCACGTTAGTACATTTAAGTCCTCCATCAGGTTTGTGCCTCTTCTAGTGTCATTTTAAAGGATTTTATTTATTTATTTAACCATTACTAGATTAGCAGCAACAGAAATGCTAATAAAAATGGGCTGCATGGTGGTGCAGATGTTAGCACTGTTGCCTCGCAGCACGAAGGTTGCAGGTTCGAAACTTGGCTGCGGCCTTTCTGCGTGGAGTTGCTTGTTCTCCCCATGCATGCGTGGGATTCCCCCGAATACTCCGGTTTCCCCCACAGATCACAACATGCCCTATATTGCAAGTCGATTTGGATAAAAACGTCTGCCAAATAAATAAACATAAACATAAAAACACACAATTATGTGAAGCTGGAACAATTAAAATACTGTACATTAATTTCTGTAATTTAACTAGACTGAGAGACCATGTAAAGGCTCAGGAACCTTTACAGGTATTTCTATTTGCAATTTTAAATTGTAGCTGATTGGGGTCTTGTTGAATATCACACAGTGACCTTTTAATAGTCTAAATAAGTGTAATGTTCCTGTTAGTAGTTCCTCCTGTTAGGTTCTTATTTATTTAAATAATTCAGGTTCATAAAAACATTTGGACTTACATTTTATTATGTCCCAGTTATTAGTCATTTATATTTCACTACTGTAGCAATTTATAGTAAATTAAGTAAGTTTAATTAATCAATTTTTCTTGCATTCTTTAATGAAACAAAGTAAGTAAGTAGTTATTTTTCTTTGTAATAAGTTACTTTTATAATCTCATAACTCTGTAAGTAACTGTTACTTTTTCACATAGTAATGATTAACTATAACTAATTACTTTTTAAAAGTAACTTTCCCAACACTGGATGTGAGGGAGCAGGAGGAGAAAAATGTGTGGGGATGGGGAGGAATGGCTGGTTGGACTTAAGCCCTCCAGGGAGGTATCCACTTCTGACGATGGTGAATACTACTTGGCTCAAAAAAAGATTTCAAAATATGAAAAAGTTGCAAGTTGTTTTACTTGAAGGCCTTGGTTGTTGTCCCAACCCCCCCCCCCCCCCCAACCCCCCCACCCACCCACCCACACCCACACACACACACATTTTTAAAAACAGACGGCACGTTTTTGGAAACCTTGGTTTTTGTTCCACAGACAACAAGCCTTTATGGCAGTCTTGCAGCCAAAAAGGGAACTGTCTTGTTAATTTCTTTGGTAGGTTCAATAATTTTATACTTGGGGTTTGCACTCAGAAAATAACCTAATGCAGTCTGGTAAGAAGGCCTTTAACTTCTCTGTTTTCTTTTATTTGGGGTATCTGCCTAAGACACAATCTCTCTGGGCTAACCAGCTTCCTCCCTGCCTGTCTGGGTTTACTGGGACCGCATGCAGACCAGTTTGCTGCATTCAAAGGATGCCAGTAACAACATTTAACTCCTTTTCTTTTATCTCAGCTTCCATTGCTAAATGTAAGAACATGCTCATGGATAGATTCCAGTGTTCTTAGGATAGACTATTAACACATTCCTTTTCATCTCGCCTCCACCATATTGTTTACAGCGGTTCCTTTTGCTTTCACACCACATTTACAGAGCATTGCAAAAGTCTGTTCACATTCATGTGCCACTTAGTGTTGGTCCCTGACAGAAAAGCTCTAAGTAAAAAGTTTAAGTTTTTGGTTGTAAGGTGTTAAAATGTGTGCATGTTCACTGTAACTAGATGAGTAGCGGAGTCTGTGTTACTATATCGGTTCATTATTCAAACAGATGGGATAATGTAGTCTATGTTTTACATAACAAGTAACAAATAGAAACTTGTGTTTATGATACATTACTCATGATTTTAATCTTGAGAGGCGCTATATAAAAATAGTTTCTTCTTCTATTACTGGGACAGCAGTAGCTCAGGAGATAGAGCGGGTTGTCCAGTAATTGGAAGGTTGCAGGTTCAATGCCAGTTTGACCAGAGAATGCTGATGTTGTGTCCTTGGGCAGGACCGCCTTGCCTGCTGGTGGTGGTCGTAGGAATTGGTGTAGTCAGTGTTAGGCAGGCCTCACCTCTGTCAGTGCATCCCAGGGCAGCTGTGGCTACATCAAAGCTCATCTCCAATAGCATTGTGTGTGTCACTGGGTGAATGACTGATTGCGTTGTGAAGTGCCTTGGGGTGTTGTAGAACCCTAAGAAGGCACTGTACAAATACGGGCAACCCTAACCCAATACCATTTACCATTTACATTCCACTAGATCAATGGACTGATAAGCATAAAATGTTTTATGGCTGTGTCTCAATTCAGGGTCTGCATCCTACCTCGGCCGGATTCGTCGGCCGGTTACGTCACAGCGCCGCGACTCGGCCTGTCCCAATTCGAAGACTCCTTCAAATGCGGTCGACGAATGCGGCCTTCTTTTCGCCTGAATGAAGGATGGGTCGGGTGTATCCTTCAATAGGTAGCATTTCCCAAGATGCCTTGCGGGCCGGCCGGCAGAAAAACTTAAAAACAATGGCGGACAGTGAAGCGGGAGCTGTCGGAGAGGATTGCGCTTATAAATGTAAGTATAAACTTGAAAACTGTCAGTTTAAGGACTTTTTGTGATACATGAACGTTATTTTAGTTAGAAATGTTACAGTAAAAGTGCTTGTATTGCGGTCTCGGCTCGTATGTTCGGCCGCGCTCGGTGTCGTACTTCTCCCACTACGTTTCCCCCTGATTTTAATAGAAGTTTGTATTTTAGGACCAAAAGAGAAAACCAGGGAATTTATTAAGCTTAGGGCGGAGATGGACCACATGATCACCGGAGCAAAGTATTCGGCGGCTGTGGCATGGAGGTACAATAACATCTCATATTTTAAAAACTCGTTTGAGTATATTTTTTTCTGCGAAAACATGAAAGGAATAACCCGTTGTCCTCTTTTCTCTTCCTGTTTCTTTTCTTACATGTTTGTTAAGACTATTCTGGAGAAAATGGGCATCCAGGGGAAGGTGCCAGCGATGAGCTTCTGGAGCTGATCAGGGAGGATATGAGGCTGCAGAGCAGCAGAGAGCACAGGAGAGAAGGAAGAACTTTGACAGCTTTTTACTTTGCTAGAAAAAAATGGTTAATGAAGATTAAACATGTACATGTAAAAGAAATATCTAAATAAAATCAGTTCTGCATTAAACTCTTGAATTTTATTTTTGTTTACAAATGAGAATTGTTTACTAGAGGGTATCCGCTGGGTCTTGAAAAGTCTTAAAAGGTGATCAATCGGTTTTGGTCAAAGTAAGACCCTTAGAAAGTATTAAAAACTATTATCACATCTTTGCTCAGGCTCAGCTAGTCTAAAGTATTTTCTCTGAATTAGCTCTCCAACAGTCAAGGAAATGATTAACCCCCAGAGACCCACGGTTGTAGTATTACAACATCAGATTTAAGTCTACAAAAATAAACCTTCCCCATTTTTTTTCTTTTTAAAACCACATTTACATTGCTAATAGGTCCTATTCAGTTCTGCAACACTATTGGCTGTTAAAATGTGTAAATAGGCCCGTTTATCTGGCCTCCTAGAACAACATGTGAAAGGTTAAAAAATATTTTGCAGTTGTTTTCTAAATTTGGGTTTCTGGGGGTTAAAAAGCTAAATAAAACGTCGAGCTCCATCGTTTAAGGTTCCTTCTGCCTTCTGCCCAGCGGTTCCACGGTTGCTAGGCGACGGAACGTTCGCCGAGGGAGTTCATGAAGGCTAGGCCTGTCCAAATTCACAGCCGTTAACATCCGGTCTACCCGGCCGACGGAGGACGCAGCCCACGTCGGCCGGGTGGGCTGGGTCCTTCGAAGGATGCAGACCCTGAATTGAGACACAGCCTATATGTGTAGCGACATGAATGGCCTCATTTGTGACCCAAAGGTCACACTTCCCCAGCTAGGTTGAGCTGGGTCAAGCTGTACTTCTGTCCACAGATTATCCATCACAGGAGACGTAAAGTCTGCTAAAACCATCTTTAATCTGACTGCCTTTTATCTTTCTGCTGTTCCGTCCCAAGACGAAGGACACTTCAAGATTTAAAATATTCATTTTTTATAAACTCTTTTCACTGTGTATTACAAGGTTCATAAATAATCATCATAAATAATCATCATGGTTCATTATAAATGTATTTAATTACTGAAATGACTTATTATTCTTTGGTTAATAATAACAATTATTTATGATAATCAGTAATGTTTGATCAGTAACCAGAAGGTCATGTACACGTGTACACACCATGCAGGGGACTGAATCAGGGTAAAGGTAACTGCACCTCACATGTCTTTGCTCCATAGCCAAAGCTTTCTGTCTCTGAGAGGGCGTGTTCTGAGGTTTTGTTAAAACCAAAAACTCCTCAGTTCAAGTTCAGTTCTGAACCAACCAAAGACTCTCTGTGGCACGAGAGTCCCAGAGGACAAGGGTCGGCTGCCCGAAGCCTCACTAAGCTGTTCTGGCACGCCGATAGAATCGCTCTGAATAAATGCCACCTGCACCAGCTGACGCAAAACTCCTTCAGAGTTATTGATTTTTTGAGATGCAACCAGTTCCATCAGTCGTTGTGACCCAGAGACATCTCAGGACCGATTTGGTCGCACCAAGGTTCCTCTACCCACCTCGTGCTCGGAGGTCATCATCTCCTCCTGACATCTCGGATCCAACAGGGGGTCTCCTAACTGGTTGAGATAGACACTTCCGACAGATAGCGTCCAATGCTGTTCTCTCTAAGAAACAACTTAGTTAGCTGCAAAACAACTCTTTAACCCAGAACGCGTTTCTCTCTCTGATAGGAACCTTCTGAGATTCCATCCACGCATCCAAACGCACACATTTCTATTTAGTTTTCACCCAGACACAGGTTGTTTTTAACACCAAGTTTTAATATCAAAGCTGTTATAAATTGTCACTTATAAATGTCATTTTTAAATTGTCATCTTTAAATTGTTAGTAATAAATTCTTAACTTTTTAAACCTGACTCTTCTTTGAAATGAAACACAGAATGATGTATATTTGGTTATTGAACAAGCAAAGATTCCATTAAGTCTTCTGGTAATAAATAAACTTTTGCTATTAATTTAAATCTCTTAAATTAAATATTAATCTTTGGATTAAATATAGACCAAGCAGGTTGAAGTATTAACTTCTATCCATTGTATAAATATCCTGGATATTTATACATGATATAAGCTTCATATGCTAATATTGTTTGATCTTTCTCAGGATCTAACAAAGCTGATGGTAAACAGCATTAAATCCTAGTATGTAGATTGTCAATGCGACATATGAATAGACGAACGAGTACTAAGTGGACAACTAGGCATAATAAAATAAGTTATGACATCAAAGTTAAGCCCACTACACTTTATCTGTTGTTCACTTGTCCTCTTTCCATATTTATAAAAGGTCTTAACAAAAATCAACATAGGTTGAGTTCAATGGTGTACTTCAAAACATACATTCCTTTTCTTGTCTCTTATAAAGTAACACAACATTGATCGACCTTTTTTATTCATTAACCACACAGATGAATCTGGAAATACTGTAAATCCTCTAATAGAGGCCCGGGCCAGTATTTGACTCACGCTCATCAAGCTCCAGGCCTTTATTGGACGGAGGACCAGAATTAGAGGCAGGCCTCAATTTCTATTTGAGCAAAATGAACTAATGGTTCGCTGGAGTTTTTGACAATTAAAATTGCGGCCACATTTTCAAAGTTAAACACATTTCTTTTAACAACGGTAGTTTCTGCTTCAGCCCCCCCCCCCCCCCCCCCCCCCCCCGCACAGCGGCCGCAAACTCACTGATGCGCCTGCAGCCTCTCAGAGTTCCTGCTGCTCTAAACATTAAGATAATTATTTCATTTTCTCTTCCTCACTTCTGATTACCTTCAATGGTGTCTGTTTGTTGCAACCACCAGGTACAAAAACTAACTTGTTTTTTTTAGTCTATTTTTCTGTTCTCTCTGTTTATTATCTTCCTGCATCTCCTCTCAGTCCTAAAGAAAAACTCCTACCTGGCTTCATATATATTCACCTTATGAGTTACCTTTGAACTACAGTTCTAAAAGATCTACCGACCGCAAAAACAGCGGAGTGCTCGCCGGCCACATCAGTGATCGGTGTGTCACCGAGGACAAAAGAGGTGATGCGCCCCGATCCACAGCAGCAAAACGCATCAGGCACAAATAAAGAATAAAAGACAGAAAGCATAAAAGGAAATGAGCCGACATGAACGATCGCATGTTAAATTAGTTTTGAGGTGGCGACACCTGATTTGATAATGTTACTGTGGCCGTGCTCAGGACGCAGATGTCTGGAGCGCGTCAACAATCAGAGCTTTGCATGCGCAAGCTGGTTAAGGTTAGGATGGGGGTGAGGGGAATGTTAAATTGCAAGAGGGTAAACGTCACAATTTGGTTAAATGTCCGTTTTACGACGGGTGTCAGTACCGACGCTCTGGCACAGCGCGTTGCCTCCCGACGCTCAGGAGCTTGTCACCTGCAGACAGCAGGCTGCTGTCTTTTCTGAGGACTGCATCTTGCCGGCCATTATCACGTGACAGCGACTAGTTGATGACAGGCATAAAAAGTCACTATAGAGCGGTGAAGTCGACTGGTGACTAGTTCATACAACCCATGCTACTGCTCCCCAGAGTGTTCTGCAGCATAATCAGCACGTTCTCTTTGAACTTGATATCAAATTTTCGCCTCCTCTTCATCTCCGCAAGGTTAAAGTTATCCTCGCGGTCTATCACTGGCAAATCAAAAGTGAGACGGATGACACAACCACCCCCCGTACTTGTTTGTTACCACATTCCACCCGGCCACAATGAAAAACCGGCCATTATTCACCTCCGCCGACTACGACACCGGCCAAAATATGATACCTGGCAGTTAATTAAATACAGACTAATATTAGAGGATTTACGGTAAGTAACAAAACTACTAATATTCACAGAATCGATGCAAAAGACCTTTGGAAAGCAGGAAGTGCTTTTGCTCAAAATCACTCAAAGAGCAAGTCACCCCCAAATCCACTTTTTTGCTGATAACTATAGAAATGGTTGTCTAATCGTGCTGTAGAAACATCTAGTCAATAATTTGGCACTTTAGAACATCTTAGTTAAAATTTAAATAATCTGCCTAAAACTTTCAGTAGTGCAGTGCTTCAGGTAAAACTTTGTACTGCATTTGAATTTAAATCTGCCATTGCTATTGGCTAAGAGATACCGTATGACGTTAGCTGGTACCATATGATGTCAGTGTTGCTGTGAGCCTGAGTGTGTGTATTTGTTAGCGACTCCACCCTCTCGGTCTGACAGCAAACACCTCCTTGTGGCGCATTTTTCAAACAGGAAATGGGAGTTGAGTTAGACTCTGGTAGAGGGGGACTTACTTTTTAAGAAATCTTAGACTGCTTGCTTGGAAATGAAGTATGAGTGTGTCCACAATATATACATGACCTGAGTTAGACCACAATTAGTAAAAGATCTGACCAAATCTTCTGACTGGTCCATCATGTCTTTGATCCGAGGAGTGTTGTAGTGCATTTGACCAGACTTTCTCATGTTCTTGACAGAAAATTAACATGACAGTAATGTTAGAGCATTTGTGTGGTCAACAGTGACAATTAGAGACAGATTTTATTTATTTTTTATATGAAAGGAAATTCTTCCACTGGGGCACAGTCAAGGCAATGGAATGCAAGAAGAAACTAGCAGAGAAAAATGGAGATGATGAAGAGAAAAGAGAAGAAGCTGAAGCATTAGGCTTAACAAATGATGGGTTGAAATAGTGTGAGTACCATCTCGCGAAAGTAGCGCTGCTTTCTCCGTTTTTATCTCGGTGTCTAACAGCTTTTTAGCCTCATATTTATCTTATGATGTCTGATACAAATTACATGAGTGCAGGAAAACTAGTGAGCTCAAACTACAAATTAAATGAGGTCTGCATTTTAGAACCATAAGCTTTCAGTCGTCATGTGATGGTGTAAAGTGGCAGAGTGGAGGGTGGATTTTTGGAAATGGTGTCGGTTTTATGGAAATTAACACAACTAGGCCTCAGTGGGATAGATGGTTCATACAAATGTTACTCAGATGATTCTCTTTATCTCTCTGAGCGCGAGCGTGTGTGTGTGTGTGTGTGTGTGTGTGTGTG